CACTGAGTTTCTTTAAAATGGAGCATTTCACTTTAAAGCACTCTGAATTACCTTGCTTACATCTTAACTGTTATTCATGCAGACATATTTTCAGATATTTTCTAGAGAAAGACTGTTGATATTTGAGCTCAAGCGCAAAACAGATACACCACTCCCTTCAGTGCTCCTTTAGAAGTTTCACCCCTCAAAATTCATGGACACTTGCTGCTTTTGCCATCTCAGCCACTATAACTAGGTGGCTGTGTGATAAACACATTTATGGACCAGTACAATTACAACCAAATAAATTTATGAGAACATTTTTGGTAACAGATAATATGGAACACAGCAATATATCCACATATGATTTTCACTTTGTACATTAGAAGATGCCCTCGATGCAAGATTAATCTCTATCTGTAGCTGGTCGGCTAACGCAGACAATGATTTTGACCCACTGATTGAAACAGAAAAATCTCCCACATGTTTGATTAAATATTGCTTGTGGGTCTATGAAGACGTAGTAATTATCACAAGCTGACATATTACTGTTTCACCTTATCTTCTAACTTACGATCGACTACCTCAGTCCAAATTATGTCTTTTACACTGAGCTGTTGGCCCCGCCCTGATAGAATGATTGACAGGTTGATAGGGTGGCCAAATGTAAATCAACAAAAAAAATCAACAGAAAATCAACAAAATGTAAAAAATTACCAATGGGTGCCCAAATTCATCACAGATAACTCTACAGAAAGTTTGTTGTACAGTAAAGTTGTCAGGCAATAAGAGCAAAATTTTTAAAAAGCGCATTATATTATACTCAACCAGTACAACCAGTCTAGATGGGTACGAGAGACAAAGTGCTCCCCTTGGAAAGGTCATTTATTTTCTGTAATGTAATTATTTATCCCTTTATTCGTGGGGGGGGGAGTAAATACAGCTATAAATGAAGCAGAAAGTAGCAATGACTGTCACCAGAATGGCAAATTCTGTTAGAGAAATGGGTAAAGAGTTTACCTACAACATTAGAACAAATATGCATTGTTTTGCTTAATTCTTAATCATGATAAACATCTGTGATTCACAGTACTAAAACTGCTACAGGAACGTGCAAAAGAACATAGTAGACAAGGCACATTCTGCACACACACCTGCCCTCCTCATTCAGGGTTCCTTCAAGGAAAAAATGTGTGAAAAAATGCTTGCTGTACCTGACTTACAGGTTCTTTTCATGTAATTACAGAAACTTTAGAAGTAGTTTGCAGTGTGAAGCGGTTGGTATGCAGATCAGCACCTCCATGTCTGTTCCCAGCCCGGAAAAGGATGGCATGCCCCTCTCCAGGTAAGGGGAAAGGACCTGCCCCAGGTGGAGGAGTTTAAGTATATTGGGGTCTAGTTTACGAGTGATGAAAGAGGGATCATGAGATCGGCCACAGGCTGGGACAGGCGGCAGCAGCCAAGTTGCGGGGGACAGGGTCATCTGGGAATCTGCTCTTCCCACTGCTACCGTGACCCTAGCTAGATTAAGCGGTTAAAGATGATGAACTTTAGAAACGCAACAGCACCACAGTCTCAGTCCAAAACTTTTCTTTTAGAAATGCATTAATGAAGTATACAACTATTAATCAGAGTGGGTTCTGTTTTTAGAGTGGTTTAAATCCACTAAAAGGGGGAAACTTGTGTTCCATTTCCATTTGTGTGTGAATTCAACATAAACTTTGTGTAAAGATATGGAGACGTCTATTGGTAACACATATACAGAGGAAAGAAAAAATAAACAATAATAAAAAGATCTTCTTAATATCTCTGTGGTTTCTCATAGACAACAAGATTAGGTGGACAAAGAAAACTTTTGCTTAAGTCTCTCCTGTTGCTCAGATATTCCTTTTGAGAAAAAGCAGTATGAAAAAATGCTTGCTGTACCTGACTTACAGGCTCTTCTCATGTAGTTACAGAAACCCAGGGCAATTACTGTAATGCAACTTTAAAATAGAAAGAAAAATCATTACGACATCATGCACACGGATATTTCTACACTTCATTACATTCTCAGTTTCTGCCGTGCTTGACATATGTTTACTATTATCAATTTTTTTTTAATAAAATGTGAAAACACATTCTGCACCAGCTCACACCCTCCAAGGTTCCTTCAAGGAAAAATGCATGAAAAATGTGATTACATAAACCCAGTCTAATTACTGTAACACAGCTCTAAAACAGAAAAAAAACGTAAGACATCAGGCACATGGACATTTGTACACTTCTTTACATTCTCAATTTCTGCTGTCCTTGACACGTTTGGCGTTTTCAACATTTTTTAAATATGTAAACATAAAACAGTCCTGATCCTTAACATATCCTGGGACAAAAAATCAGATACATTCATGAAAGAGAGTCACAATGAATGTCTGATTTAGCTGCCATTTCACACAATATAACTGTTAACTAATAACTAGCGATGCAATTCGTGTACTCTGTAGTCATGAAGATATGAGGCAGTTTGTCCCACGACAGAACTGCTCTAATCTTTTATTTCCCTTTCACAGGACATACTTTAAAGGAAGCTCTCTTCTTATTGGCGATCTGTGTAGTGTAGTGCTCATATATGCAATGTACTACATGAAATAAGTGAATAACAGTAGGTTCAATGAGAGGGTTTAAGCAGTGAGGATGAATACCACTATTGTCAATGTATTTAAAGGTTTAACAATGAAAGAAAAAAGAAATAGAGCTCTTGTCTAGGGATGGACTGATGAGTGTTTTCTGGGGATGCTACTGATCTTGAAAAAAAGGTCTTCATGGCCATAAAATCCTTCACAAATGTTATAAGGACAAATGCCTTGATATAACGGTAGAGCAAACAACACAGCAAGTAATGTAACTACCATTAGCTAGGTTATGGGTTAGCAAACTGTCACTACAATGGCTACTGTAAGCTAACCAGTTGGAATTAGCTGTCAAAAACATTATCAAATGGGTCAAAACAATACTGATCTATTGATTCTGTGAAACAGCAAAATTAAGTTAATGTTACCTGGCAAGCAGAAACAGAGCAACTGTTTCCTTTTAATCCCTTTTCATGCCTTTCAAGTCTTGATGAAGATGAAGTCAGCTTCTTTCTTCGGCGACTTCTTCGACAAATTTTCCCATTCCACCTTAAATGGTGCAGCAGTTACATTTTGATGCCTCAGGCTAGCATAACCATTGAAATAACCAGAGCCTACGCAGCTGGCGCAGCTAACAGGACAAAACAGTCCTTTTGCTTCACAGATGGATTTTTAAATGTACTGATAAGGCTAAAAGGGCTGACATACGATCGCTTTTGTAGTTCTTCATCTTATATCTATTTTCAGCCCCTGCCAAAGCTGTGGGTCATGAAGCTAGTGCAGTGTAAGTAAATTAAACAAAGATATGAAAAAAATACCCCAACTTCCTACTTAAAAACCAGAGAAAAGGTAAGGAAAACAAATGGTGCTCATCTCCTACTTTTCTCAAATTCTCACAGGCTTTCACAAAGTCTAACAAAGCTTTCATGAAATACACAGACTCACACAACGATTGTTAGAATTTAGCAAAGCAAACAAAGCAAAGTGATGTGAAGAGTTCTGGGCTGGTCAGGACAGGTGTTCTTCCAGGTCACATCAACTGGAACAGAGGCCTGATGGCAGTACAAGGCACACAGTAGAAATATTACAACCTTGTGGTTAATCTGACAATTTAGGCCTTCAGTCCAGCTCCTGAAGTCCTAACCAATGAGGAGCTCACTTGGCTGTATCTACCTACATACCATGGAGTAAAAAAAAAAATCCTGACTGGAGAATTTTCTGTTGGGCGTTTCAATATTTTAACACTTTACAACTATTAAATAAAAGGTATTAATACAATACTTGCAAATTTAAATACAACAAGCATGATTTTTCTATTAAATTAAATGTAAAAAAGCATAAAGCTTTTAAAAGCAGATATTATACTTTTTCACAGAAAACAAAAGCCTTTTAGCAGGCCCTGATGATTCTCTAGTGGTTCTTTAAGTGATCTAAACCCACAAAAATGTAGCGGCAAACTGGGGTTTGTGAAGTAAATGACTGTATCTCAGGAACTCGGGGTGAAAATCTTTGAGTAAATTTATGGAGACCTCCAAGACAGTAACACATAATATTAGCACTAGAGTCATTAGATGCTGCATACGTAGTAACAATTTTCAGTTATTTTCATTAGTTGAGGATACCATTACTAGATGTTTGGCGTGGGTGATAAGAAATTTAGATTTTCACCAAAATTACCCACACACAGCCCTTTTGGGAATCTGTTCAATGTTTTCACCCACGTGCTCAGTTCTGTTTGCTTCTATTTTGTTCCTCATCCTCAGTTCTATTTTATGCTTTGGAGCTAGTCTGTAAAATATTTCTAAAGTTGATATAGCTCACTATTCCACATTTGAAAAATGTTGTGCTCTGCCCTAGTCTGAAGTCATATGTTCCTAACACTAATATTATATGTATTTTGTCCAGACAAGAGTGCCAGACAAGTGCAACTGTTTGAGGTTATGTTTAATTTGTCTTATAGGCATTACATACTGTTATTCCTTTTTATTCTAGCTTAACCTCCCAGCCCTACTATGTCTCTCTCTATCCTGCAACATGCACAGACTGAAAACACACACACACACACACACACAGCAGCACAAGGCACACAGACGGAATATAGTGTGAATAGACGTGGTGGTTAATCTGACAATTTAGGCCTTTAGTCCAGCTCCAGCATAGTATATATAACTTTACCTAGATTGTTGGTCAGCTGAACAAAACTTTGAGGTACATACAATGGGCACAATAGCACTCAGCAACAATCCAACTGCTTGACCAATAGCATGTCGGCCAATTTTAATGACAATAATCGCAATAAACCTGAACATCTTAAATATGTGCACACTAAAAAGAGTAACAAAATAGGCAACTGATACAACTGTACAGCCTCACTCGCTTAGCTGTTCAAAAATAATGGTGCAGTCCTCAAACAAACATTCATTAAGTTTATTCAGGAAACAATAAATTTTTCCAGTTTGACAGCATTATGTAACATGGAATGTACCTGTCACTGTAATGTTCGTTATACACATTTAACATACATTTAAGCCAAAAATTAGTTTCCCTTAATGCTCCTCTGTGTTTATCAGTTTAGTTTAACGAATGGTCACTGTAATGAAGTACAAAACACATTCTACAGTACTATGTTTTGCAGTGTTACATAAATCATTCAGCTTGTACCAATTAGTTTTAACCCTCCATTGAGCTATACTGCAGTTAATAACCTCTAATTTTATTTACATAAAGTGGTTCAGTGCAGAGGTTTATTCTGTCACTGTTATGTTAAAACAGTTAATGCCAACTAATGCCAGTATAGTATAAATAAGTTTACCTAGTTTGCTGATCAGCTAAACAAAACTTGGAGGTACATATGATGGGGACGACAGAAGTCAGCAACAATTGAACTGCTTGACCAATAGCATGTCAGCCAATCTTAATGACAATAAATGCAATAAACCTAAACACCTTAAATATGTGCACACTAGCTGTACTGAAAAAGAGGAACAAAAATCTTATCAAGTCAAATTATGTTGCTGAGGTATTAGCAGACATTACAGATAGTGTGGTGAGTAAAAGAATTATCCTGATTCGTAACGGCATGTGAGAATCTTCTCAACTTGAAACAAGCAGATACGTAATTCAAGTGACATTCTAATATAAGATTAATGACTAATATCTAAAACCAAACATAAATAAACCTCCCAACATAAATTAAGGCTAAACATGAGCTAACAAATGGCTCTGAACTGAAAAAAAGGGGGAAAGTGCTTATTCTTTGCCGCATAACTAAATCAAGAGGCAACAGATTCTATAGTGTTTTGCGTATTTATGTATACGAAGCATGTCCGTCAGCACAATCCACGCACTTCTCATTAATAGCCTTTAACCTGGATTGTATCCATGAATTTGAACAGATCCATTTTAAGACACAAATAAAAGTTCATAAAAACAAAAAATTAATCTACCACTCTTGGTTTAGGCTTAAAATTTTGGAAAGACTTGGCATAAATAAGGAAATGTACACCAAAGAAACGGTACACAAAGACATAACCTTCTTTTTGAAGGTGTAATACCCACTGATTACACAGACATACAATGCTGGTTGTGCCAAAAGTAGAAAACCAGACTGACCGCTTAGTGTTCCTGCAGCTATGTATCTGTTCCTATTTACACACTAGACACTCCTACAGTTCAGTGGACAAGGCCTGCTGGTGAGCAATGCCGGCTTCCGGTATAGCAGCTTACAAGTTCACCATCAGAAGAGGTTTCTCTTTCCAGTCGATTTCAACATGTGCTGTCCAAACTGTAGAGCAAACAGAACAAGAGCTGTATATGAGGCGAAACACAAACAATGCTCAGGCAAATGAATAGCTTTACTGAACAGGTTAAAAATTTACTGCAACATACTGACTATGTTTATGTGCATTCGTCTCAGTACAAGACTGCTTTTAAACCTTGCGATTAGGGGTTGGTGATGTGGCAAAAATATTCACAATACTTAATGTTTTCGCAATACAGAATATGTATCACAATATTTTGACACACAGGCACAGTGCACTAGTAGTCAAACACTCTGGGTATAATGCTTTTTATTTACCATTTCACATACTGTACTGCACTAAATCCAATTAAACAGAAGCAATTCTGCTTTCTTTGTAATGAAACATGCAGCAGATTAGTATTCTGTAAATATGGACAATATCCAGATCACTTTCCATCAGATACCACTCTGAAAATTGTCAGCAGTAAGTCTTTTACCACATGAAAAGCATCAATCGAACAAGCCCTTTTACCCAGCCATGTTAGCATTAGCCAAGACATACAGTTGCATGTAAAAGTTTGGGCCAAATTAAAAGGTGAATTTCAGCAAATTCTTTTTTTGCAAAAATTAATGCACAGTTGCTTTATATTTGGTGAATCTAAAAATAGAAACACTCTTCCAGTTGGAAACTCATTAGGCCTTCATTGGCCCATTAACTGCGCAGGTAAATAACAGAGATTAGGAATGGTCAACTGCAGGCAATTCCAGAGTTAAACAAACTCTATGACTCCTCAAACTTTGTGCCAACGTTCAACAACCATGGGCCTCTCTAAGCAGCTCTAAGGCTCTGAAAGTTAAACTAATTTGTGCCAGATGAAGGCTATAAAAAGATAACAATTAATAAAATGGCAGTTAAGCGGAACTGTGGCCCTAGACCAATAAGATAAAACTGCTTCTATTCTGGCCAGAAAGGCAAAACAAAAACCCACATATGACAAATGACCTGCAGGAAAGTCTAGCTGACACAGGAGGCATAGTGCACCATTCTATAGTGCGACCTTGCTGTGTGCAAGAGTCATCTTTACCTGTGACCTCATCACAAAAGTTAACATCTGAAGTACGCAAAACAACATCTAGATAAACCAGATGCATTTCGGAAACAAGTGCTGTGAACTGATGAAGTGAAACTAAAACTGGCCACAATGACCAAAGATGTCTGGAGGAAAAAAAAACAGCAGCTGATGAAAAGAACATCTTGCTAGCTGTTGGAGGTGGATCCATTATGCTGTGGGGTTATAAGGAAATCTGTGGCCCAGGTAAATAGAAGAATGGATTCCACTAATATCAGCACATTCTGGAAGCAAATGTGACTAAGTCAGTCAAGAACATAGAGGTGAAAAGAGGCTGGCTTCTACTAGACCATGATTCAAAACCCCCAAAATCTACCATGAACTACTTCAAGAAATGCAAGCTGAGGTTTTTGGAATGGTCCTTACAGACTCCACTTAAACATCACTGAAAAATCTGTGGGTACATCTTTAACATGCTGTGCATGCAAAATGGCCCAAGAATATCAGAACCGTTTTGCAAGGTATAGTGAGTAATAATTTGTAGAACAAAAATAGAAAGACTCCAAGCTGGCCACAAAAAGTGTTTGCAAAACATGATATCTGTTGCTAAGTACTAACTTAATAGAGTATCCAAACTTTTGCACATGCCACAATTTCTATTTCATCAAAATATAGTGACTGTGCATTAATATTTAGAAAAAAAAAGTTTTTTTTAATCATTTGCTGTAGAGATTGTTTACTTGTTTTCACTTCAAAGATCAACAAAATATGTAATTTGGAAAACATTTGCATACAAAGTATACTTTATTTGCTGAATGGATATTAAAAATAATGACTTAAGTTTCGCTGGGTTCATTCAATTGACTTGAGAGATTGAAGAGATCGAACACCTTTGCTTGCGATTACTGATTTCCAAATGGAGCATATTTTCATGTTTACGTCTGAATGCCTGCCAGGGTTTTTAAACAGGCCCTTTGAGGTTGTAATTGTGTTTTTAAATCAAATTAAAAAAAAAAAAATCCTTCAAAAACTCATACCGGCTAACCGGTGTTACTGAATTTCCAAAAAATCCAATAATTAAGACAGACAATCCAACAATCACATTATTCAGCACATGTTAATCTGACATCCTAAAATTTTCCTACATCTCCATGTGCAGAAATGTGTTTGATGAATTATTTCGAAAATCTGAATTTTTTTTTTTTTGCAGTTAATATCTCTGAGGATGTGGAAGGGGGTCTTACCATAGGTGCCTCTGAGTGGGGTTTCGACTCCCGAGGAGGGAGGCTGAAGTTGCTTTCGCACTCGCTGTCGCTGCGATAACGATGTGCAAACTTGCGCTTAAGTGCCTCAGCAATGAGAGCAGCAGGGTCTGCGGGTTCACTGGGCTTAGAGTGGCCTTCCTCAGGGCGACTGCAGCAGAGATCCAAACATATCAATGAGGTTCTGGACTCTGAAGCCAGGCATACACTGTACAATTTTAGAACTCCTGTACTTTAGTAACAAAGTTACTAAAAAAAATTTGTCCATTTATTATACGAAGATATATATAAAATATGCTCACACTCTTGTCACACAAGACCTTTACAGAGAGTTTCACATCACTACTAAAAATGTTGAAAAGCAACCACTTTTACTTGGAGATTGTTTGGGCAAGTAATCAGATGGCCATCAAACAATGTCAAAGGATGGCTGACGGCGCTGCAATCTGCTTGATCTAAAAAAATTTATTTTTATTAAACTAATTGGCATTGGTATCCCCATCACATCTTGCTTATGGTGTAGGTCCAAAAAGTGAATCAGATTCAACATATCTTTCAGCAAGTCCTAGTACCTTAGTCACAGTAGTATGAGTATAAAAAGTAAATAAGCTATGTTCATACGCACTTCTTAACGGAGCGCAGCTTCACTTTTCCCATGTCTTTCAGCACATCTAACATATTGGGCATCTCTGGCTGTTTTGGCCCCGGGTCCACAACTGTCTGCTGGTCAGCCTTCTTACTGCGCCGCTGTTTAATGAGGTCAATGGCAGAGACGCTCCTCTGCATGCCGGGGCATGGTGGTGGTGGTGGTGGAGGAGGTGGTGGGGGTGGAGGAGGAGGTGCTGAGGGTGCAGAAGGACCACCTGGAGCTGGAGCTGAGGTTATTAGAAGACAGAGAAGAACTTCATGTATGGACAAGCATATGCACAGCTGTTACTTATGCATAGCTGTTTGTCAAGATGGATTAAATTTTGTCTTCTTGACGGACTGGCAAAAGGGATGTTAATGGTTAACCATTTAAATGTTGACCAACAAACAGATAAATGTCTGACCAATGGTTTCGGTTAACAAGTTAATTCAATTTGAATAGACAGGTTTTTCCTTCAACTTTTTTGAATTGGACCATTTTTGAATTGCACACACAGCACAGCTCTTTCCAGTAGCCCTACTTAGGCTACTGCATTTTCTGGTGTGTGACTCTTGACTCCTGCCGCTCAATTTTAACCTACAGAGCCAGAGCTGTTGATAAAGGGATATAGCAGAGATTAAACCATCCTAAATGTAGTTTACAGCACCATCACAACTAGGATATTTAGCCACATGACACAGTGGTAGAATACAACAGATTTTTTTTTTTAAGTATATGTTGTTTTTGTTGAATGTAGCTATAGCCTGCAAATATGTCTGTTAGCTAAACTGTAGTCTATGTAGTTAGTCCCATGACGAAAAAGCTTAAAAGTTGAGAGCTGCCAGCTTTATGTTGACTATACTATTAAACTATGCACATGAACTTCAAGTTAGACTTGGTCCGGTCATTTATGTTCTTTAATTTGAACTAATGATATGTGGTAAATGTAAGCAAATATATCACATGACTGTCATTTCTGTTAAGTTGGGCTGTGTTTTTTCATTCAAGAAAGCCCAAAGCCTGTTTTATATATAGTGCTGTTTGATGTTTTAATGGGTTACCGATTAATCACCAACTAATTATGGATGGTTATCAGTCGAAAGAATTTGTCAAAATGGAAAGGATTAGTTTGAATGATGATGCTTATTTTAGATTTTGTTACTGGTAAAAATCATTTTTTCTCATGATGTATTAATGAATTTAATTAAGATGTCATAAAGGTTTATCTTTTTCCAATAAAGTATTCTGGAATTATTTTTATTGTATGGCCTTAGGTTACTCACATCTTCACCAAAATAACTGTTAGTATTACGAATATTATATAATTGATACTGATAGCCCTAAACATATTTTAACTCTTTTAACCCCATGGAGCTGCTCTTACCTCCAGCATGTGCGCTCAGCTCCTGGGCCTGTACAATTTGAGCAATCTGGGCTCGCAGTTTGGCCAGCTCACTCTCCAGAACACTGATCTTCTGAATGGCCTCGTCATTGACCACTGTCTGGCTCTGTGGGGCAAGCTGTGCCCGGTGCATGCTGGGCAAGGAGCGCTGCCGTCGGAGTGTCGGCCGCTGCTGAGTGCGGAACACCAGCCCTGAACCTGCTTCCAACCTGGAGAGTACAGTAAAACATCAGGCATGAGAGAAAGTTCATTATTATTATTATTCATTATTATTATTACTCATTATTATTAAAACACTTTTTGTTCACTTTAAAACAAAGATTTACCTATTTCTGCCAGACACATCATTTTCCTCCTGGTCAATCCAACCTACATCAGCTAATGATGCTACAAACCCACTTTGTCCTCCTGGAGTGCCTAGGATACCTGATCCAGCTCCAATAGTGAAAGAATGGAGCTACAGATCCAAACACACAAAAAATAACATTTAGTAATCAGACAAAAAACAGAAACAGTCTAATAAGCTTCACATGCATAAACTGCACGTCACTGCAGAAAAAGTACAAACACTCTTTAGTCTAGTCAGAACTACAAAAGCAAAGCAAGACTCTAATTTTGCCTTTAGTTAGCAAAGCGAAAGCAAATGTTACACAAATAATAATAGCTAATGGTTCACCTTCACCTTGAAGTCCAACTAACTTCCTTGATGAAGTCATGCAAACAAAGTGATTGTCCACACAACCATTATATTCCTAGCCCTCAGGCTTTGCCCTCTTGAAAATGAAATGTATGTATGAAATGTACAATAATTGAGCTACTCTTTTTACAATAAGCCCATGTTAATATCATATTCAGAAACATTAATACAGTGAATTCTAAATAAATGTTAAATATACATATATTAACCCTGGCCCAGCCTCAGTAATATGTGCACTGAACAGTTTTCCAACACAGCATTGTGAAATCATGTGTTTTCCCTTCATTAACTCACATAATCAACAAAGCAGAATAACTAAGATGAACAAGATATTATAGCGCAGGGTTTTCACTATGATTCAGTGTTATGTTGGTGCCCCCTATGGCTGGAACTGAGAGTTTATAGAGTTTATTGTATTAGTTATGCTGCTTCATACATTATTTATTATGTTACTAAAAAGAAGTAACAATCTAACATAGTACTGATAGCTGCTGTTTTCATTCACTCAAAGTGGAGGAGGGAAAATGACTCATGTCAGGATTTGCTCAACACTGCAATAATGAACACCCATGTTTTTGTAAAACCCCACCTCAAACAAAAATGTTACAAGAAAACGTAGCCTATATAAACCAGGACGGCATTTCCCAAACTCTCGGGAGCTTTACCATCACCTTCAACACTGGACAGCAAGTTTAAGGGCCTATAACAGAGAGTATTAGTACTCTGAAAGAGAGGTGATCTACCATCTTGCCATGATCTATTTGAAATGATCTTTTAGGCAGACTCACCTTGGATAGCAATGTGTCAGAGGATGACACATACTTAGAGCTTATCAGATTAGTCTGCCAGGCTGGTTAAAGCCACAGTCAGGAATTTGTGAAGCCGTTTTTTTCCTTTTCATTAAATGTATGATACGTCTTCTCATGTGACATTGTTCCGAAATTCCTGATACCGGCTTTAAGCAAAAGACAAAGTTTTGTTTTCTGAACACCATTTAGCCTAAGCATTTGGTATATCTGCAAAGCTTCAGTTAAAACATGTCAAAGATGTCAGACAGTAGCCAATAAACTGACCTACAGCAGAAAGGTTGCATTCCTTAGAGACAGAACAGCTGGAAAGGTAGGAAAGCAGAGGAGAGAAAAACAAAGTAAGAAAAAACAAGATGACAGATTTGTAATTTAATTCTTTATAAATGTTAAGCAACAAGAGATTCTATTATAAGCATGCAAGAAACCCCACAACCTTATGATTCACTTTTGTTTATGGTCAGCACATATCATATGACATCAAAACAGGAAAAAGTGATATAAGGATATGCAGTAGACAGACACAGAGACAGCTGTAGACAGGGCTGGGAAATATGACAATATAAATCATGTCACAACACAATTCTGAACACCTTGTCATTATAAAGAGAGCACAAATAGTCCCATTAAACTGGATTTAGTGCAACACAGTATGCAAAATATTGAATAAAAATCATTGCATTTACGGTTCCTGATGTTTTTTTTTAATGTACCACTACTGGCTCTTTTTTTTCTCTGTTCCAACTGATCAACATTGATACATCATGTACTGTGAACATTTCTTGAAGTACCATGATATCATATTTTGTCCATATCACCCACCTTTAGTGGTAGGAAACGGTCTGAAAACGCAGAGTGTGGAGATAAGGACAAAGTATGAAACATTTAAACAAACATAAACAAACAAATGTGAAAAGGGTAGATTCATATGTTTGCTTAACAATCAGCCCTGCTTACGACAACAAGTTACAAAGGAAATTCTGTCGCACGGTTTTGGCTGAACGCTGCAGTTCTATATTGAATTACAGAAGCAAGTTATCAGCTGGCTTCCAGATTTGTCTCCTTGCTTAAAACACAACAGGCTGTATTGTTTATTGTTTATTATTAAAAAATAAACAACTATGATAAAGTTTATACTAAGTTTGTCAACACAATGAAATTATGTTAACAACTAGAATAAATAATTTGTAGAGTTTTTTAAGCTAGTGTTAAAAATTTAAGCCTATTTGCCAACATTGGCATTTTGGATGTATTTATGGGAAATGCTACATAGAATACTGTACAAAAATATGTAGATATTGAGACATTACGAATGACTAAATTAGTATTTACATGAGGGACACACAAATATTATATGCTTTTGTTCGTATGCCAAAAAAATAGTCAACAGAATAGATCAAAAACATAACACAGGGCCCGACCATGTTGTGGCTGATACTGACACCAATTTTAGGGGGCTAAAAGTCTTTTTACCCATAATAACTGCCCATAATTTTATGTTTCCATTTTAGATTTTAATTTTATACTCCAATAATTTTAGTTCAAAAGCACTTTATTGACTAATATGATTGTCGGTTTATAAATTATCACACTACTTAAACTCAAGAAACAGACAGACACTCACAGCCTTAAAGGGCCCATATCCTATAAATAAATTTAACTCTGCCTTTGAGATTAATTTATGTAATCGATCTCTGTTATGATTGGCTGCCCTGTACTGTGCCTCATTCAAAAATCTGAAACACTCTTTATAACTTCAGTGTGAATGGGCGGGGCTAAATTGCTGTAGGCTGAAAAGGCAGATATATATAAGCCACATGATGACACAACAAAAACAATTTTTGCAGCAGGGAGGAACTTTTTTTTCATAATATTGGCTCTTTAAATAACACACTGTAGCTCTGAGCTGGAGCTACCTAGAATCCACACACACTCAAAAACATACACACACATATACATATACATATACATACTATACATATATATATATATATATATATATATATATATATATATAATAAATAAAAACACACACACGCTTATATATGAAAAATCTGTGCATTAGCGTTGGCATTATCGGTCCACACTCATAATACCACATGTCGCTAATATCTGCCCATATTATTGGCCAATCAATGTAGTGGTCGGGCACTAGTCCCTTCCACATTTTAAAAATGCTGTGAAATTATTTTTATTCAGCGTTTCACAGACTGCACTGCATTAATTATGCTCCCTTTTTTATAAAAATGCCGTTGGTCAGTGCTCTTTAAGTACTGACTATAGCCACAACATGCTTAGAAAAGTAATTCATAATGGTAATGATGACATATCAAATTGCCCACCCTTAGGGTGTATCCCACAAACTTTATTGTTCAGTTTTAGTTTGATTTCTGCTAAAACATGTGCACCACATTCCAACAAATTCAACAAGTCAGGTTCTCATCAAAATCTTTGCACAGATTCTCTCTTATTATTACACATTTTGAAAACTACACTCACACTCCGTCACCAGACCTTCCGAAAATTACAAAAAGAATGAACTTATAGTGTATGCCATGGAAGAATCACAAGGTTCCACACTAACCTATTATGAAAACAGAGTGAGCTCAGGGTTAACATACGCAACAACTGTAAAACTTGTGTGTTTACAAAGTAAACAAACTTGACAACCACAGCAAATTCACCACCTCACTTGCATTGCTGGGTTATGTGCATGCACTGTGTGACATTTAATAATGGAAAAAAGGAATGGTAAGAAATGGAAAAAGTAAAGAAATGGAAAAACCTTTCTACCATACCTGAAAGTGGACACGAGGGCAGGGTGCCAGTGGGAGGTTTGTGGCAATTCTTCTAACAATACTCCGAGATGATCCATAAGGCTTGGCTGAACCAAAAGCCTACATAAAGGGAATCATGGTCAGATCTACACAATAGATTTTTATCACAGCTTTTAAAACAGACACTGAGCCAAAAGCTGAACCAACTCATGAAGCAACACCAATATAACTTTACGAATTAGATTTACCTACCAGGTCCATTTCTATCCTTGCATGATTCTTGCTCATTCTCAGACCGACTCAATTAAAACGGCTCTCAGAAGTGCTCTTGTTTTGGGCCATCTTCACTTAAACAACCTGTAAGAACAGTAATTTATGAGAGACAGTGGTAGTTGGCATTACAGAACTTGCACAAAGAAAGTCAGTCACAAGTTGACAGACTTGCCTGGATAGCCGATGGTAACCCTGCGAACACCCTCAGGTTCCAGAACTTGCCTTGAAGCGAAGAAAACAAAATCCTGTTTCTCTTCGTTTCAAGATATTTACATCTTATTTGAACTGCCTTAAAGCATTTGACTAATCTATACCCGACTTTCACTGAGTTAATTTGAAATAATGTGAGGATAAAAGACTAAAAATTGGCAAAACAGCTCGTGCTAACTCCATGAGGTCAGCAGTGACAGACATTTCTCCAAACTTCAGAACGTTACCCAACCCGGCTAGGTAGCTAGCAATAACAGCTAACGGTAAAACCTATTAATACAGTGTAACAGTAAATAATCAACTTATAAAGTTAACTTACTTATAAGAGAATTCATCTGGATTTCATACTGACCATCGGTGGAATCGGAGACAGCCTATCACTGATAGTTTAGCCCCGACATGCGAGATTTTTCCAGTTAGCTGTGTAACGTTGCTAACGAAGTTTTCCAAAGCTGTGCGTTGGCGGCGGCGGCAGTGGAACGTAGGACGCGCCTATCTTTAGCCAATAGGATTTGACAACTTTCAGAAGTAGGCGGGCTATAGAGCATTTACGCTTACCATTAGTCTAGAAGAGTGAAGAACAGCCGAATAGGCCAATCACAGTACTTTATTACTGTACTCACATCACATGCGTGTATTTGATAGGAAAAAAAATATTATAGAGGTGTAGAACAACAGTAAAACGTTTGTTTACAATAGTAACAAAACATAAAAAATGCGTTATGATTAATAACTCATTTAAGTGCCGAATTATTCTTCTCGTTTTCAGTAAAAGCGTCTCCTATTGATCAGAAATCCGCTGTAAGGTTAATATCCAATCAGCGTAGACCAAATCAGGAGGTGCTGAAGTGTTTCATGGAAGTGGAGCTGGGAATGGCCAAGCGAGCGTTTTCACATTAGCTCATTTTTGTCATTCGTCATTGACACGCGTATTTTATTGTTGACATTCAGTAACGTGCCCACGTAAATCATATTCAACGGCTGTGTGGATTCTCTGAAGACGTGAAGATCATCTAAGGAGAGGTAAAGCGCGGTAGCTGTTGGGAAGTGCTAGTGGTGTTTAGCTTAGCTTAGCATAACTTAGCCTATCTTCGTATAGTGTACCTTAGCTTAGCTCGGTGGCTCGTTAGCACTGTAAAGCAGAGCTCCTGTCCTGGGCGTGTTTTCTAAGGTTATTCATGGACAGGAGTCTGACAAGAGTGTCCAAGGTTAACTCTCAGGTTGTTCCGTTTATATGTCCGTATACATACGTTTTTGTTCGTTTTAACCTCTGTAACTTTGCACACGGTGAAATGAGGAGACAAGCGGAGTTTAAATGACGCTACGCTGTAGCGTATTCTCAAGCTAACCAGCTAAAGAAGGACAGCGGAAAGCAGAAGAATGAACAGCTGGCTAACGAGCTGCCTGGCTTCCTTAGAAACCAAGAAGACACGTTAGCTAGTTTTCACAAGCTAAGCTTTTAAATTGTTTTTCGCAAGTAGGTCTGTTTTATGTGTTTTTTGAAGGCCGAAATCCATGTGTTACTGCTAGCCCACCAGCAGAGGCCCCCTTCTCCACACACAGCATCATTATTTTACTCCTTTGTTTGGTCGTGGCATTATCATCAACGTTAGCATACATTGCTGTCTGTCTGCCTTTAATTCAGGGCTGCTGACAGGCCACGTAATCGATTCTGACTTTTTGTTATTTTTCCAGAGTGCTGAATTGTTGTAGGTCGCAAGATCCATGTTATCAATAGAGATGTTACGATTTCAAAGCAGTATCGAAAATCGGAAACTTTATGCAAAGTGCAAAAATGAAAAAGCACTTGAATGTTTAGAGTCAGATTTTGTACATATTATAATTGTGCCTTTGTTGCATGTTATTTTGTTTATGATATTTCAGTTTTGGGGGCTGAATATGGAAACATACTGTTAAGTTTTTTGAATTGTTTATAAGATCACTGTATTGCACAAGGACATAACTACTTTGTTTTCTTTTGGAAAACAAATAGTATTTTTCTGAGCCAAACCAGTCAATGAAGTATGTCAACAAAACCTGCAGAATAGAAGCTGTTATTAACACACAAAAAATGTAAATGTAACCGAAACTTTACCTTGGAATCAAATATCACGTTGAACCTGAAAGGATGTGCATTGTTACGTCTAATAATCAACAATTAAATGACTCTGTTTTGCAAGTGAGTGCAATTTTACTGGTGTCTGTTTTTTCTTCCTCATAGTTTTGAGAGGCCCTCTTGTGTACATGGCCCTAAGTGTGGTCACATCATGAGTGGGGAGCCAGATGCCTTGGCTGTGGTCAACCAGCTAAGGGACTTAGCTGCTGACCCCCTGAACAGGCGAGCTATTGTAGAAGACCAAGGCTGCTTACCAGGCCTTATCCTATTTCTTGACCACCCCAACCCACAAGTCGTCTACTCTGCATTATTGGTGAGATCATATGAATTGTCGCTTGTGTTATTGTGTTATGATGCCAAAAGAAAGACACAGCAGTTACATGGCAGGGCTCCTAATTTAATAGTTATAGTTGAGGTAGTCTGGATGTATCCTATAGGTGCATTGGGTTCATGCTATCATAAAACAGCCCAACTCTGCTCATTGGGTTCAAAGCCCTCCCCTCTGTAGAGTGTCCTCATGTCACATGATTGTCTCCTGCTGTCTAGTGCTGTCAGAATACCTTAGATTTTCCAGTGACTCCTGTTGGAGAGAGCCCTCCCTCTGAGTGTGCAGTTCAGCCATCTAGTGGCATTTACCCAGCCACTTCCATAAGACAGCAGCAGACTGGGAACAGCTGGCGTCTGCTCTGTTCTTTTCGTCCAGGCGGTGTGAACAATGGTGTTAGATCTGTTTTCTAATTGGCGCTAAATCTCCCTAATGCTGCCAAACATCACTCCTGTGAATCCTGCCATGTTCCATGAAAATACTACTGTGGGAAATGTTTTATTTCCTGGTGTTAAGAGTTATCGAGTTAGCAGTGGCTGGGTGTTGCAGTTTCAAGGATGCACTGATTTATATAAGTTTTACACCCTGCATTATGTTGCGAGTTTAAGTAGGTATTGTTTCAGACTTTGTCGTGCTGCTGAGTTGACGTTTCAGATTTCTGTTTTTGTATTTTCAAAGGGGTAGATCACAGGACCATTTTTAATTATTGATCATTGCACAAATACATCAAACTATTACTGCAGTACTGTTGGGTATCTGAGTTCGTTCTACATTAGCCGGCTGAGGAGGGGTTATCTGTCAAACAGCCATCCTCATGTATCTGACCCAAAGCAAAGTTTTAAAAAACTTTTTTCACTTTTGGGATACATCCTCTGAAAGGGGCTTTTCATAGTCTTTAAACATGAAAATCTCACTCTCGGCAGCAGCCTTTTTAGAACAGATTTTGGCAAAAGTTAAACTTTTAATTTCGGCTGTAGTGTCCCAAAATGTGTCATGATGCCCAGGATGTCCTTTCCTAAAGACTGAGTCACACTAGGGTTTGCCAGTGGAAATTATGTTCATTTTAATGGAATTTGCTGTGATGATTGGTTTCTCATCTCACAGTTTCTTGTTGCAAAATTTCTTGTTGAGTACTTCTTTGATTTTCTTTCATGAATTTGCATCTTTCACCAATAGTGCTACTACTTTGGCTGCTTTGAGCTCTGAAGGGGCAGGACTTCATGGAGCAGTACCAGGCCTCCAATATATAACGCATGAATCTTTGAATGTTTCTGCCCAACTTGCTGTAAACATAAAATAGAGAGACTGCGTGATAGACAGCGCTGTATTATTATCTATTCTTTGGTGTTTGTACTCTTCATGGTAGATGATTTAGGCTAATCTTGCTATGTTAGCTCATTGGCTAACTGCAGCTGCACACAAGTCACTCCACTGCAAAACCAGTCACATCACTTATCTAAATTTAGGTGCTACAGATCAGTGTGCAGCACTATACTCTTGAGTATGAGTATAAAATTATCTTCTGTAATTTTGTTGACATTTATACTGTTACTGTTTATGGTTAGTGACTCTTTATAGTCAGCTAGGTTACTGACTGCACCAACATGGAGGATTGTTTTTGTCACCAATTTTTTGGTACAGACTCGGTCAGGCCCAATTCACAAGGCGATGCAAAAATGTGATTGCGGGTTAAGTATAAATTCCTGCACTGTTGCTTACTTTTACTGTATTAACATCAACATACAGTTCACCCAAAACACAGGCAGTTTTCAGAAATCGTTTATTGCATATGTAAACACAGCAGTGCCTGGCACTGCAGTGGTGTGGCTCTGTGTGACCCTTGCTGAATGTTTGTGTCCTACCAGGCGGTACGCTACCTGGCAGAATGCCGTGCCAACAGGGAGAAGCTGAAGGGCGAGTTGGGCATGATGCTGAGCCTGCAGAATGTCATGCAGAAGTAAGTCCCTCCTTATATCTGCTCAAAAAAAATGAGAAGGCACTTTGGCTCGCTTTGCACATTCCACAGAAAACCTGATCCCTCTCCTTTTGTTCTGACAAAAAGTGTCAGCTGCGCACAATTTCTCTGCACAAGTAAGGTGGCCCTGTCATAATGAGCATTATTTGCTTTGAACCTAAATGAATGTGGCGATGAAAAAACGCTGTTGAAGCTTAATGTAAAAAGCAGTGCAAAATGCTGTCCTACTTTAATGAACAAAGAGACATGGTCTGTTTTTTTTTGTTGATTATTTTCAGCTTTGTTTTGTGTTTTGAGTAGGAAATATTGTCCCTGTTTTGATCAGCGTGTTTCTAAGAAAATCAGAAGTCAGCAGGTGCCTTTGGATTTTCACATTCTCAATCCAACGTGAGGCACCACAGGCTCAGCTCTAAAGAGGTGCAAAGTCCGTAGGCTGGTATTATTGGTGATGCGTTCTGGTTGTTTTGAGTGAGTGCAAATGTCTGTAGGCCCTTTGGCGGTTAGTGACTGCTGTTTTTCACAGAGCTTCACCAACACAAGTAGCAGCAGTTGGCAGAGTGCTGCGTTTTTCCTGCTCTAAGGGAACCTCATCTCCCGGCCTTGCGACCCACCAGTCACTTCAGTTAATGTGGAACTTGTCAAGGACTGCCTGCAGTTCCAAAACTCCATGTTACCATATTGGGGGGAGGCGTCTTTGGCTAGAGGTCATATGTGGCCCCAGTCAGCGAGAGGACAACACTGAGAAGCTTTACCGATTCAGCTTTAAATGAGCGCTCAGATGCTGAGTTTTTCTGCTAGTAATTTGTCTGAAAGACACATATGTGTATTATGTATAGGACAAAGTATTGTTTGTATTTCTTTCATCTATTAGATTTGAGGGTTGCGAGACAGATGTACATGGCATGAACCAGTGCATTGAAGTGGTTTCCACTGTTCTAGTCTTCCAAGGAAATCACTTGTTTGTGTTAGTTATGCTACCATGTGCTATGCTCTTATTTTGGCAAGTGGACTAGAAGCTAAATGAATGTTGGCATTTTTTTAAACACTATCAAAAATGTATCATCATGACTAGAGATGGAGTGAGCAGTCAGCTGTGTATTGGTATTGGCCAGTTTTCAGCACAAATATGCGTTTGGTGTTTGGCCAGTGTTTACAAAGGGATCATATGTCAGTACATTTACTTATCCTTGATGCAGGAGTGCTATGTCTTGTTGGCTGAGCCAGTTTTATAGACTCTGGTTATTTCGAATATCATGCTAACGTGAGACATCAGAATGATGCTGCTGCACCATTTAAGGTGGAATGGGAAAATTCAAACAAGAAAAAAAAGCTGACTTCAGCTGTTGAAAGAGTTAAAGGTGTGGAAAGGGGTTAAAAGAAAACAGTTGCTCTGCTTCTGCTGGACAGGTGGGTAATTTTAACTTATTTTTGTTGTTTCACAGATTCAATATATCAGCAAACCACCAGATGAACTGAATTTTCACACATTTACAAATATCCACCATTAACAACATAACAACTACTTTTCACCCTCCAGTGCGAGATTCAGAGCCTGTTTGATCAGACACCAAACTAATTACAGAAAATCAGATTTTTGCACCATTTGCCGTTGTAAATGTTTTTGAGAAGAATGTGTTGTTCTGTTGGGCACAAGTTCATTCTTTACTAGGGTAACTCGTTTATAAAACACCATATTGACAAGGATGAAACAGTTTTCAACATGAGCCCTGTTTTAGTGCAGTTATTTTTAGCAATCCAAGTAACAACCAGCAACAAACTCTCAGGGTTGGTTGATCAAACCTTAAAGGTGGAGGTTAGTCAGCACCATCAAATGATATATCTTTAATCTGGTTGACTGTAGTGTTAAAAAAACAAACAAACAAAACAAGAATCCTTTTGCACCTTTCCCTGGCTTGACTGGAATACTGACAGACAAATGGAGTGGACGTGGGCCAACCCCTGAGTGCTTTTTGGTGCTTAAGCATGTTTGAAAATTGTAAACACAACATATGACACGTTTCTATAACTCTGAACACAAATTGTCTATTTTGGCCACAGATTCAATGGCCCGAATGGCCGTTTCAGATTTTTTAAATCTGTCCGCTCCTGCATCTCAGTCATCTTCAGTTTTGTTGGTTGATGTGAGTCTGCTTTAAAGTCTTTTTATGGTGATGTGACTTGAATTTGTCTGTTATGGATAAGCAGAGCGTTTAGATGCCATTGGGCATCCCCCACTGGCAAGGCCAGAAAGCCCAGTGTGAATGATGGCTCAGCAGCATGTCTCCTTTTAGCATATTCAGAACATCTTGAAACTCTGTCAGACCTGACCAATGAGCTGCTGTCTTTTTCACCCCACAAATTGACAGATTGACTGATTTGCTCGCCTGTGTGCTATGGCTGTCTGAGGAGTTTGGCCCATGGGCCAAAATAATTTTCGTTTGATGGACCAAACAAAAAGTCTACCTGTAGAGACCAGTTAGCACTGGCAGACTTTATTCTATAATGCTCATTCCCAAGAGACACAAAAGTTAAGTCATATGATTCTCATATTGTTTTAAGTGATAATTAAACCAAGTTGATTGTACTGTGAAGTTGTACATGCTAAAAGTTAGCTGACCATGTCTTTGCTAGGGTGTCTAAATTGAATGTTCTCAATTATATTAGTAATTCAGGTAATCAGGGATTAGGCCAAAAATAAACTGAACAGTAACAAACCATTCTCAGTCTTTTAAAACTCCAAAATAATTTATTAAGAAAAAGAAACATGGAAGTTTTAAAAGTCTTCATTACAAAAGAAATCAGGAAAACACTATGTGGCAAAAGGCATCAGGTTTCTTTCAATTTAAAATATGCGTTATCTTGTGAATGTCTGTCTAATCATTGCCGAATTATAAAGAAGTTAGGTTTTAATCAGTGATTAAATTTGATCTAGTAATCATGCCAGTCTAAATATTGAGGAATAAGCATTCATTTGTTGTCTCTGAAGGTTAGCTTTTCGCTTTTAAAACCTCTACTCTGTCACGCTAGGGGTACGTCGCCGGGAGAGACCAAGCTGTTGGCCTCAGAGATCTATGAGATCCTGCAGAACTCCAGCAGTGTTGAAGCTGAGCAGGCGGAAGCAGCTGCCTCATGCCGCCGTAAGGCCCAGTTCTTCCTGGGCTCCTCCAACAAGCGGGCCAAAACTGTGGTCCTGCAGATCGATGGTTTGGATGACTCGGTAAGGACCAGCAGCTGTGGCTGACATCCCTCTTTACAGATACCTTCCCACTGGGGCAACTGCCTCTGTTTAGCATGGCCAGACAAGCAGAGACCCCTGCTCTAAATGTCAGCAGCCAAACAGCATGGTGTTCAGTTTGAGACTGAGCAGACCACGTGTCTGCTACACCTAGACAGATCACATTGCATCAGATCACATTTACACAGCGTTTAGCATCTCGTTAAGGTTTTGGGCGAACTGCACCATGTATTGCGTATTGTGGAGCAGTCAAATTTCTTAGCCTCACATCATTTTTAGCCTCACGTGTCACTTTTATTCTCAGTTTTAGTATTTGTGTTTTATTGTGATTCTCCGTTTCAATATTTGTGTATATTTCAGAGTCGGAGGAGTCTCTGTGAGGAGGCTTTGCTGAAAATCCGTGGAGTCATCAGCTTTACCTTCCAGATGGCTGTTAAGAGGTGTGTGGTCAGGATCCGCTCTGACCTGAAGGCAGAGGTAAGCTCATGTTGATTTAAAACTTTCAATGACAATGTTGTAGATGTAGTGTCATACTGAAACCTGCCTATTCTTCTGCAGGCCCTGGGCTCAGCCATTGCATCAACCAAAGTGATGAAAGCACAGCAGGTGGTGAAGGGAGAGGATGGCTCTGAGGTGAGCGAACACAGGAGCTTCAAAAGTACATGCTACTTTTGATGTAGTATTTAAACTTTTGCCTCTTTTCCACTGTAAGGCTGAGCAGTACGGAGCATGAAGGGTAACGTTTCTAGTGGCATTTCCACACAGACACCATTCCATCGTGCTCAGGTTTCTTGACATGGTCACCTAACTGTGTTCAGGGCTACAGAACCATTCGGTGGGATGGTGTAACAGCTTATCTGTCTGCTGGTTCTACATTTATGTCGGTATTGTGCCACAGCATCCTGAGTTATTTCGAGTCCAAAAAAAAAAAATCTAGTAAGTTTATTCACACTGACGCCGTGAAAATGAAAGCAGTGCACAATTTTAAATCCACCATTCAGTAAATGTCAAAGCTTCAATCTAACAACGATTTATTAATGTTTAACACTGCTGCTATCCAGGAGAGTATAGCTGGTTAGTATTAGCTTAGCTAGCACGCTGTCAGCTCTGCTCTGGCCAATAGAGAATTTTGAAATGTACATTTGTCATTATTTTTTTTATTTTTATTTTTTTTTAGGTATTTTGGCCCCTGTTCTTGTATTTTACGGGCCAGAAATGTTGATTATGGGGCATTTGTCCATGTCCATCCCTCTCTCCCGTCCTACCAAAACACACATGTTAAAGTTTACTCTGGGTTTGTCAGTATTGCATTTTTCATGTCTACAAGATGTTGCATGTGGAGGTTGCAGTGTTGGTGGCCTGTCTTCTCTGTAGTGAGCAGACTGAGCATGCAGGCAGACATTAGGAGAGCTGCTGATGCCTGTATGCCTGGGGGGGCTTACCCCAACCCAAGCCCTCCCTTTCCAAGTTCTGCTCAGTTTTCCCCTTTTTTTTCTAACTGGATCGCCTGCCGCTGAAACACAGTGTAGTGTGGGTGGGAGGGGGGCTGGGGAGACGGAGTTAAATAGGCCCTGTGTGGTAATTAAGAGACGTGTCCTCTCCAGTAGAATTGGAAGGGCGTTCTTTACTTGAAGCTACACAGTCATGACCTACAGTGGTCATCATCATGGCAGTACTGTCCCCTGTTTTCTGTGCTGTTACTCTGCTGTACAGCAGGGGGCATCATTGATTTCATTATGTTTGTGCATGCTACTTTGCATGAATCACTTTATGCAGTGATTCATCTTTGTGTTTTAGTCATATTTGATCAATAATACATAATTTTTTTAATTTAAAGTTCATACTGCTTGTTGACTACAGATTGTTAACTCTGGGTCAGAAAACTTTACACTATACAAATTTGTCTTCAGTTTGTTTATATGTACTGATGTCCCCAGGTCGATTAATATGAAGCACAGTATCAGCTGCTTGTGTCCCAGCATCCTCTGCAGTTCTTTCACATGCTGAGTCAAAAACTTATTTACAAATTGAAAGATGACTATTTATTTATTTATTTTATGTATTTATTTATTATTTTTGCCTTACTTGAATTCCTGACTAAGTAAACAAATGTCTTATTTACAGTAAACTATTATACTAAAATACTAAGATGAGTTTGGATATCTGTATATAATCAAATAGCTGTTCCTACTAAAAACATCAGTATTCAGGTCTGTCTTTCAAGGTAACTGAACCCACTATTTTCCTGATAATTGATAATTCAATATGGATTAATTTTCAGAATGTGATGATATCGGGTTTCAGTTTGCATTTAAGTGACCCTGAAATCAGAATGGAACCTTTTCTTTTATCCTCTTTGGTCATTCATTGTACCACACCATGACATACTCCTTGTTTAACTGTAGTCCTTAATCAAAATTTAATTATTTTTGCCCACCTTTAAGACTCTTCTGCCTTACATCACTGCTAGATATTATAAAATATTCTTTGATATTGATACCCATAGCAAAGTATTCATGTCAATAATGATTCCTGGTCAATACATTTTTGATACCATATCTTTTAAATTATAAACAAAAGGAGACTGTAGCTTAAACTAGGAGTGAGTGTGTGTGTGTGGTGCCATAAGTGGGTATATTTACTAACCACAACAGACTGTAGACTAATCAAGAAGCTCTGTCATTAATAACGTGCATACTAAATATAATTCTTGTAACCAATTGATAATCTAGATTTTGAAAAAAGCATGCTTATGAATGCTAAGACCAACAGCTTAATTAGTTGTATTATTGAAATAATTTAGTCTGTGCTATAAATTTATTGAATTTCAATACCCAACCTTAGTCACTATGCACCAGTGGGCAGGCAAAAAATTAATATTGACTAATAATGTCACATTTCACCTCCCACCTCCTACCACCCCATTGAGAGAAAAAACTCCCTGAGAAAGACCCTCCCTGAAACCGTGTTTCTCTTATATGGCACGGTACAGAAGGAAAATGTGTTTTTAATGAAGTTAGCAAGCTCATTCTTCCTGAGTACTGCTGCTCTACTCCAAAACAATGCCTTACAAACCTGACATAGCTTGTTTTGACTGGACTGTTTTGTACTGTTTCCTTACACCAAAAACTAAAAATCTATATTGTTTGACCCCAGTAGTGGTTAACTGCTGTAGATTATACATCATCCAGCACTGGCTGATTGCTTGTGCTTATTTTTTCTGCTGCCTGTCTAGGTGATAATCCCATTCCAAGAAGATTCCAGCATGGTGGTCGAACAGAATATGGACTTGCCAGACTACCTGCCTGAGGACGAGAGTCCAGCTCAGGAGCAGCACAAGGCAGTGTCCAGGTTGGGTTCCATGCAGGACGGTGTGGGCTGGCTAAGCACGGCCGCTAACTTCCTGTCCCGCTCCTTCTACTGGTGACGCACGGGCGCACATCGTCCTCCCCCCACCCAGCCCAGCTCCCATTGCTGCTGCCCCCCAGCGTGCTGGATCGCCACGTGTATCTCGCAATAACCGTAACTGTCTCTGAAACGCAGAAACACTATTGCAGACTGCTGCAAAACCGAAGTCCTCCTAAAGCTCACTTTAGCGCACGCAACACAAGAGACACTAAGCCATAGAGCAACACAGACGGGTTTCAGAACGAGCGTGTCCTCTGTAGCTGCTCTCTCTTGCCCTCCTATTTTTTCGTTCTTGGTCAGAAGACAGTTTCTAAGACGGTTTGCTCCAGTTTCTCCTCATGGGTCCATGTTTCTAATACCAAACAGCATTGAGTTTGTGTGTGGTTTTTGGAGATTTCTTGGTGCTCGGTCAGAGTGCAGAAGCTTTCTGAGGATGGGTCAGTTTTGTATGATGGAACTCTTCTGGTGCATGAGGTTTGGGTGCTTTTTTTCTTTTTTGTTTGTGTTCTTTGCCCTTCATCTCGGCTCTTGTGTATTTTTATCGTCTTTATTCTCTTTTGCCAATAATTTGATAATCCTTTTTAAATTCACTTTACCCCTTTTGGGGACTTTTTGAAGCATGCTAAACTTTCGATGCCTTTTTCATCCTCTGAGTCCTTATCCTTTTGGTGTGTGTGCCTTTGTATTGCAGTTTGTGATTCATTTTGTGATCCATTTTCAACAACTTCTCTTTTTTGGATCTTTTGGCGCTTTATGTTCTGAGATGCGAAATCACTTGCTATCATTTCTTTACTCCTGAATCTTTGGTCATATAGAGAACTGATTGAGGGAATGAACAGGAGAACCACCAGCAATGGCTGCGATAGTGCGTCATTAAGCAAACCAGTGTAACCTAATGACTAATCTTAATGCATGCAGAAAAAGGGAAATACGCAACATGTCATTGCTCTATTTGGAATACTAACCATCTTTGGTTACGCTATGTGCCAAGCACTGTAGTAACTTCTCTAAAGACTAACCTGTAGACAAGTACTGTAGATCTGACCATTGATAAGTAGGACCATTGAGTAGGATGGCTTAACTCTCCTGTGTGACTTTTTTTCCTTTCTTTCTTTTTTTTTTTTAAATCCCTTGCTCGTTCTCATTGCTCATGTCTTATGTTTCCTTCATCACAGACTACCTATAGCATAAATACTGGTCAGTTCTAGTCCTCTTAGTTCTTGAAATAACATTTTATTCAGTATAGCTTCAAGCTTTGTTCAGGGCCTTGCTCGTTTTTGAGCTTCATTGCCACCCCACTTGCCAAATGCACGGTCAGTGCCTGTCATTTCTGCATGCTAACAGCAGCTCAATACCCCTCTATCTCTCCAGCCAACAGTGTCTTTTACAACTAGAAGCAGCCCATCAACTGGCCACACATATCTCTGAGCATTCCCACAAGAGAGGAAGGTGTTTCCGCTCAGGGGTCTGCCGAAGGTGGGTAATTGGTGTTTGGCTGAGTCATGTCCCCCCTGCTTATCACAGCATGAAAACAGTCTCCCAAGTATATTTATATTTATCATTGTCTTTATTGGTATTGCATCACTTCCTGATTGAAGTATTTGCACGAAAGAGGAGCTCCAAATTACTCTACACTTCTAGGAGGTGCCACTGGTTCCCTAAAGAACCTTTCATTGGATGGTTCTTTAAAGGAATACTCCACTGTTTTTGAATCTAATCTCTCTATCTGCTGTATCTGTAGCATATATTCAATAACCACAGACCCACAATTGGCCTCGCTCTCTGAGTGGGTAGGATGGTCCTCCCTCTCCCTCATCACTCAGCATGATGCTACCCGATGCAGGTGTCTGTTAGCTTATGTAACAGAACTTAGAGTTGTCCTCTGAGCATGTTGAGCTGTCAAATAATGCTACAGATCATAATATTGTAAAAATGTAGTGGCTGGCTTCACACCTGCTGGTGTGTGGTCATGGGTGCTGTTTCTCCTCAAATGATGCACAAAACATGTTTTGTGCTATTAGCACCCCCTGCTGGAGAAACTCCACACTGCTACACGTGAGCAGTAAGTTCTAAAGCCACTAAAATGTATTAATGAAGTTCTAAAATGCTGAGAATGCTGAGACGATATGTCACACTTTGGGTAAACCTCCAGCAGAGACAATGATCATTTATTGTAATGTAGTTTAATGACTTATTAATGCCTCAGAATAATAGCTTAAGCAGTTAAAGGGAATAAAGCATTAATGTACATAATGTTGAATATTATTTAGCAAGCTGTTTAATTTAGTCCTCTAGTTCTGTTAGTTCTCTTTCATTAAAATTATCACCATGGAGGCATCATCGGCGTTGATTCTAAAGTTTACCTTAATTCAAAAACTTTAATAAAATTGCAAGTTACATTAAAAAAAACTTTCAGTGCAGGAAAAAATGTTATTGTTGTCCCTGGTCATCTACTGCAGCAGATAGAATAGGTTAAAAAAATGCTGAAATGTTCTTTTAAAGAACCATCCACTGAAAGGTTCTTTAGGTAACTACGAGTTGTTCTTGTTTGGCATTTCTCCAGAAAAACCCTTTTGGCACCTTCATTTGTAAGAATACATTCTTTACTAGAGTCTGGCCTTTCCTTAGTATAGCACCATAGTACTTAGACAGGTCTTTCCAATAAACCCCTTTTAAATGACATTATTTGCATTTTACTGCTTAATTTAAGATGAATCTGCCTATTGCAAATTACAATCTGTCCATTGGATTTGCATTCAAGTGTTCGAGTCATTATGTGACTGTAAATTTGACCATCATCATTCAAATGTTACAATTATGAACAAAGAGAAGAAAAAGGTCATCAGTATTATATTAAAGTGCAAAATCGGGTCACTTTTTTCTTACGCACAAGTCCTGCGTCGACTCATTTTGTTACATCTGTCATACTGTTGTGCTTGAGTTTTTAAATCATTTAGTTTCTTCCCGGTGAAAAAATGTTTTGCTTTTAGATTGACCCCAAGTGACTTCCATGACTTCAGGAAGGCTGTTAGACTGTAGCAAATCATAGATGTAGTAGCTTCTCATGTATAGTGTATATCTGCTGTTATATGTGTAAAGAATTTCAGGTCACACAGAGTTGTTGCCTGTTCACAGTAATGGCAGTTATTAAATAGATTAAAAATATGTGTTTGTTGTGGTTTGTTTTCAGGTATGATGGAGATTCACTCTGACTTTTAAACATTTGTTTTTAAATTCCATTGAAATAACCCCATAATAAATCCACACACTCGAAAGTATGATTATTTGAACAAAAATGTTAATCTAACTTTGTCTGATGTGCATTAAACATATTTAGACATTTTTGTGAAATGGCTTTCACCAGCTGTTTGTAATGGCTGCCCTTCAAAACTACAGGAAGAGACAGATGCGTAAGACGACCTTTTCATGAGTGTCTTTGGTGAACTGGACAATTGGACTACAATTGTTCTTTAAATTCTTTCAATCAGGGGTGAGAAACTGAGTTTTGTGTTTTCCCACCAAGTAGCACAAATCCAGCTCTCTAGGAATTGTTTCCTGCCTTTGCTTTCAAAGGTGCAATATGTATTACTGACAGCAAGCGTTTAAAATGGGTACTGCAGTCCATATTCAAAATATTGGAGTGAATTGTCTGCCTCCACCCCCTCCTCCCCAGACTCACACAGGTTGCCAGGTTGAGGACACTGAACCTAAACAAACAAGTGCAACATTTAACTTTGACAACATTAAATTTTAACAATAGCAAGCAACAATGAGTCATACGCTGAAAGTTGATCAGCTCATGCATACGTTTGCAGTGTTTTTATTGTTTGCACATTATAAGCCAGTTTGTGGGCTTTTTTATAACTGTCAATGTTAGCTAGATGCATAGCTGGCTATGTACAGTAGCCGAAGCTAAGTCCATTGTCCTGAAAACAAAAGCCCGCTGCTCCGAAAATACTGCCTTGAACGAAGCTGAAGTCCGCTTCTTATTTGCCAGCTTTTTGTTTGAAATTTGTTCCACCTTAAATTATGCAGCCCTGGCATCTGAGGTGCCAGTATGTAACGGCTGCAACATTTAAAGTGGAACAGGAAAATTTGAGCAAGAAGCTGGTGAACAGGAAGCCAACTTCAGCCTTGGCCTGAAGGAAGCCTGCCTTGGTAACTCAGCAGCACACGGAACCACAGAGTATGAATGAAATGTTGAAGTTACTTAAAATTCTCATCCCTAGTAGCCGTGATGAATTAAAGTTAGCTAACCATAGCTGAAGCTCAATGCTTACATTACCGGTTCAGAAGAAAATTAGCAAACTCAGCAACCGTCTTAAAGTCCTTCTGGGCTGTAAGCTGTCTTTCTTTCCAATGTTTTCTCACGTTTTACTGGGTCTCTGGTCATGGATCTTTTTTAGAAGGATGCAGAGGCTTTTCAGGTTGGAATCCCGTTTGTTTGCTTGCTTCCGTGGCTGAAGCACGCTGTGTTTGCCTGCCAATTTGTTTCATATCTGACAACTTGGGGTGTCAAAATGGGTCTAGGAAATGGGCAGTGGGCAGGATCACAGGCCAAAACACAAACAGACTTTCTGCTCCGGAACAGAAATAAAAGAATATACTGGCTGTAGCACTGTTGTCGGAAAAGCGAATATTTAAACTTAGCAAGTTTCCTTAATCTCTGATGACATATCATGGTTATTTTATGATTTAGTACAATAAATATTTTACACATTGTTCCTTTAAATTGTTGTTTTCCCCTGCATTGCCATACACCTGTTTAAAAGCTGTTCTGGGACCACTGGCGTTTTCTTAAACAGGTTAAATCAGGGTTTATGGAGAGAAACTAGTCTTAAAATCTTGGGTCATATCAAGCAATGATTAGGTCGTCAGCATGTGAAAACTCAGAAGGTGTGGCGTACAGAAATCGTGATGTTAAAAATAAATTTCTTAATTAGTGTCTGACACATTCCCTTGGCTGGCTTTGTAAACAGCAGGGGAGCTGGGGAGAGATTTCATTTCTTATAGACCTGTTTCACCCAAAAGTTACAGAAGAAAAGCAAAATCAGGTATAAAATTATTAAGTCAGAGACCACTTTTCATTTATTTCATTCACAGTCAGAACAGCCGTAATGCACAAGTTATTCATTCTGCATCTGGAAAAGAAAAGCAGAAAACATATTTAACAGAAAATTACACAGAAGCCTCAACAACTAATTTTTTTTTTTTTCGGTATTTAGTGTCCACCCTTTGCTTTTATAACAGCTTCAATTTTTTCCAGGAGACTTGCTTTCAGTGTGTCTGTGAAATCTGCAGGGATGTTTTTCACACCTCACAGTTCAGTATTAGGAGTTAGTTGCATTTTCTGCTTCTCATAATCCAAGAAATCCCAAACATGGTGGACAATGATGAAACAATGATGGTGAGATATGGACTCTGGGGTTGTCAGCCCATTGTTCTGAGAACACCAGCAGCTTCTTTGTTTGGTTTTTGTCTATTTTCTTTCCCCAGTAAGGGCTTCTTGACAGCTGCACATCCTTTCAGACTCACAGTGTTGAGTTGTCTTCTCACAGTGGAAGGATGGACAGAAACACCTGTGGATTTTTCAGATTTGAAGCAAGAGTGGAGCTTGATTTCCTCCTCTCTGTCAAAGATAAAAGCTAAAAGAAAAAAGTGCTGTTTATCTGATGGGGACATTTTTGGTGGCACAAGGTCTTGCATGGTTGTTCCAATTTCAAAGGAATACACCAACATTTTTCAGCCAGATCTGCTGGATCTGTAATTGATCATGTGATACCAAGGACGATTTTTTTGTTGCATTTCTCAGTGCTAAAGCAGCTGTCCATAGACTTCTATCATAAGTATTTTGTGTGAATGCTTCATCTGTTCTTTTACTAAGTAAAAGAGAATGTGTTAAAAATTATTTTCCATGATATTGACCCTGAGCAACAGATGGGATAGATAGAAATTAGGTTGGAAAATGCTAAATTTCATCAGAATGGCTTTAGATCGCAAGTAGTCAAAATCATCTATTTCCGAGCAATACGCAAGCAAGACGTTTAATCTATGATGCTTTGCTTATGCTTTGTACAAGGTCTAAATTCAGTAGGTTTGATCTGTATGACCTGCAGTCATTACCCCTCGGTATGCTCTGCTGGAGGAGTGCATCTGTACCATCTCCAGCCTGGTGCTCATGGCCTGGGGGCAGGGGCATCTGGTCCAGCCAGCATCACCATACGAACCAAAACACTGAGGCATGCAGCAGCACATGCACAGAAGGGGGAGGGGGAATGTGTGTTTTCCTCATGATGATGACTGTAAACAGCCATGGGGCACTACCCACCCCATCCAGCCCCAGTTACTTAGCACATAGCCAGACAGGAGGCCAGCTGTGTGTGTGGCAGGAGGCAGTGGTTAGATCGCTGGGCTTTGGCTGGTGAGTCCACCGGGAGCTGCGGTCAAAGCAGGCCTGAGAGTACATCACTGTAATCTGCCTTATGGCATCTCGCTGCAAAACAAGCTTAACCACATTAGCACAATTAGAGCAGGGCTAGGTCATTGTTCAGTTTCGTACCATACCAGTTGGCCTTAATTTGTTTTGTAGTAGCTTCAGGTAAACTACAGTTGGTGAATTGTAAAATGACATGCAGCATGCACGCTATGCAATATACAATACATCCGCTAGTCATGAATGACTAGTGTGATCTTAGCAGAAAAGACTTTTATCTTGTGCTAGAATTAAATAGTAGGTTAAAGGAATATGCATTTTTCAAACATGTGTCCACGCTTTGCCTCTTTTTAGAAGACTTGCTTTCAGTTTTTCAAAGAAATCTGCAGGGATGTTTTTTCATAGCTCCAAAGTTTTCTGCTTCTCACAATCCAAATAATCTCAATTACAAATTTAGACTCATCAGTCCACAAAACCTTATTCCACATCTCAGATGTTCAGTTTTTGTGCAAATATTTTTTTGTCTTTTTTTTGTCAATGTAAGTAAAAACTTCTTGACAGCTATGCATCCTTTCAGACCATCGCGACAGAAACACCTGTGTATTTTTTCAGATCTGAAGCAAGAGTGGAGCTTGGTTTTCTCTGCTCTCTCAAAGATAAAAGCTTTATGTACTGTTTTCATGACAGTGATCTACAAGATCTTGCACATCTTATTTTCTCTGTATCATTTAATAATTTTTGTCTCTTGTCACTTATATTCCTTTAAATTTTCCCCTTCATTATGCCAGTAAAACATCTCCTTTTGCCATTTTAGACCAAAGAAATTTAAAGGCGGCTGAGGTGAGTTTGGGTAGTTGTTTGTGTGAATGTTAGTGTCTCTTTGAAGGGGAACATAATGTCAGTGACGCTTTTAGGAACAGCTTTTGCTGGGAGGACTCAGCTGTAACTTGTTGGTTTTAAGATTGGAAAGAGTTAAAGTGGCAGTAGATGCACACGTAAAGAGTGGACAAATGAAATGCTGACAGATTCATTATTATACTTGGGGTTGGAGGCAATTTTTTTTATTATAATTTTTTGGTTATTTAACCCCTTAAAAGGCCAGGGCCCACACAGTCTGTTACACACTTTTATAACCTAAAAATAATAATTCAACCAGTTTGCACTGGAATCCCTGTAGTTACTTATAATAAGCCTTAGTATGTAATAAACATGAGATTTTAAGGGGTTAACACGTCTAGATATAAATATCAGGAAATTAAAGTGGAAATTCTGATCTGTCTCATATTCATCTTTTGATCTTGGTTCGATTTCCAAACCCAAATGTCTTCAGTATATAGCAAAAACAAAAGAACTGTCTCTGCTGTTCAAATAATTTCAGAGGAGACTGAAACTACACAGCAACTGCCCAATGCCTTTTAGTACAAGTGTGTTTCAAGTCAATTGGTTATTCTATTGTTTTCTAAATACAAGAAAACATGTCATAATAATTTTTCATGGTGATCAGCTGTACGCTGCAGAGGCAGCAGGTAGAGATTAGTAAAAAAAATGCTGGAGTATCAGTGTTCATTTATTTCCATTCTTTAAGTTGCTATAAATGCACACAAACCTTCAACCCCACTTCTCTCATGTCCTGCCCTCTTTGTTGGGAGGCTGCAGGAGGAACTCCTTCCAAGAACAGGCCTATGTGCACCTCGAACAGCCCAGCAGCTGGAGGGAAGTCCATCAATCTTCT